AAAGAAAAAAAATAAAATGAATACAAGGAGGAGAGGGGGGGGGAAAAAAAAACCAATTTCCCTTCCATTCAGTAAATGATAAATAAATAAATATAAGGTTGGTAGAATGACAACAATTGTAGCTTAACTCTAAATAGTCTGTATTCATTAGGTAAGACCAAATGACAATGCTATATACGTTTTTAAAAATCTTAATTTCTAAAGGACACAGGATTAAAGCAATATATTTCTTTCTAGTTCACAGGGTTCACACCTGTCTGACCACTCCTGCTAGTAGAGAAGCTCAGTCGTCATGGAGAGAAGTCAGTGAAAAACTATTTACCTCGAATGGACTTTTAATTTTTGTCATCCAAACTTCTTTCTAGGTATTTAGTTGTTACTATATACTATGCGACAATCATGTTTGAACTGGTGACCATTCCTAAACGTTTACTGAGGTGAACAGAGCTGATGACAGCAATACCACTTTGAACACAGAGATCTTTGTGTGTACCCTATGTTTCAAGGGTAATACAGTGTTACCAAAAAGACTTAACATGTCTGGGCTCCTTCATTGTTTGCTGATGTTATTATTCTGGGGGTTTTTTTGTTGGTTTTTTTTTTTAAGTTGGTTACTTCCCTGTTTGTAGGTGAAAGAGAAGAGTCCAATGAGGTTTTCTCATTACATGAGATAAAAGGAGCTACTGCCTAACGTTTAGGAAACTGCCAGGAAAACAAAGTCCCATCTTCAGTGAGTATCAAGTGCTATACTTTCCTCCAGACACTATGCCCTTAATAATGCTTGAGGATTTATAAACACTCTCTCTCAAACCAGCCTCAAAGCTTCTTGGCTCTGCCGTCAAGCCAATCCCCTTTAAGACATCACAGGCTTTGTCAATGGAGGTAATACAAGCATCTCTGTTGGTGCTACAGCTCTCCTAAAGAAAACAAAAAAAAAAAAAAAAAAAGAGAATGGCTCTAAAAGCATCTTTGTTTAGGTGCTGGGGGAAGAGGTAAAACCTGGCACATTAAGAGAAGGGATGTATCTAAGCTTCATGTGTGCTATATATTTAACCCTTCTCACAATAAATTTGGAAAAATGCCTTAAAGAGATGGGGATGACATTTGAGAGCAAAGGTTTTTATTTGGGGAAGAGAAGAAAGAGCCATTCAGTTTCTTCATGTGAATGCAAAGAGAGTCACTGCACAGTTATCCACTGTGGATTAATTCACTCTACAGTGAATCTGCTTGTCTATTCAGACTGGAAGGCTTAACTTGTCAGTGTTGCCGCGAACAGAAGCTGTCAATAATGAATTCACATCTGCAGGTGACACATGCCTTAGAAATTCAATTAGCCAAACAACATGTGGTAGAAGAAATGGCTTTCCTAAATGATGTCAAGGGAGATCACGGGAAAACCCATATTTGGTATGTGGCTGTTCAGTATAACCGGGGCCGAACAGTTTAAATAAAATTTGTAAAACCATGCTCCCAATCCCTGGGAGGAAGAGGGAAGAACAGCAGAGTTTCTGCTAGTCTAGACCTATTCACTGTCAGGGTTATGGGAGGACAGGATCCTCCCCACATCTCCTGTTTCACCAGGAACAAAAGGGAGGGCCAACCTTTCAGCTGAAGGACCACTTGATTAGCCTTCCCAAGATACTTTCTTTGGGAGAATCTTCCACCTGCATGCAACATACCTCACTGGATGTTTCCTAAAACAAAACCATCCCAAACCTATTCCCAGTCACCTCTCTTGTACTGTGCATCCAGCACACAGGGAATATACCCAGGTGTGCAGTCTCACTTTGTTCCTTTTTGCTCTCCAGGCTTTAGCACTGAAAGGCTGTATCATCAAATATATGTTAATCATTTAAACCAAACAGAAGCAAATGATAGTGACAAGCCTGAAACAAGCAGAAAATGAAACAACTGATTTTTCACTAGAGCCTACAGAGCCATTATCAAAAACGCCTATGCACAGAAAACAGTCAGAGGTCACAGCCTCAAGATACCTGTCTCAGATGAGGATCATTCACAAAAGGTTTCATGTCTGAGCTTTGAAATAGACTAAGCATACTATTAAAACCAGGGGTTTGTTTGTGCAAAATCATTTCTTTCATTATCTTCAATTCCCTTTTTATTACGTTCTTACTCTGCCACAAATCTAACAGCACGTCTGCACCAGCACAGGAGATGCTGCTCGTGTTCCGGCAGCTGTAGGATTTTTACAGGCATTTGGAGTCAGAGTCATGTGCTCAATGGAAAATGAGAAAGAAGTTTCATTCAGCATATGGCATCATAGCTAATGCTGCCCTATCTAAAATCTTATTAAAGCAGAGACATGTGAGATTACATTCAGGGGATGCTAAAAGAGATAAGCTGAAAATAGAAGTGGGACCAGGAGACTTTGGAGAGAACATGGAAGTTTCTCTTCTGAAAATTAAGCATGCCCTCTGAAAAAAAAATAAAATTTTTTTTGCATAGTTTTTTAAACCCAGAAACACCCTTTACCTTTTTGGCAACAGATAATGAAGAACGGGTAATGCAGAACGTAAGGCCCTGAACTGCTTTACTTCTCCCCCAGGAGTAAAATATCCAGTCAAGCAAACAATTAAACGCTGACAACAGTGCATTTCCTATTCTGAGGTATGATGTGCAATGCCAAACCTACTTTGAAGCAAATAAAATCTCTCAGCATGAAAGTATTTTCACAGCTTCTCCAACAATGTCATTTTGCCAGTTTCCTCTCATTTTCCACAAGAAATTGCCTACACCATTTGCAGCTGATCAACACCCTTTTCCATGAAAAGCAGACTGCACCCACACTCTGCCTTTTTACTACAAAGCCAAAATCCAATTTGAAAACTACATCTGTAGCTCTCCTCACCCAGCTGCCTTAGGTCAGCATTGGGGGATCCTACATCCTATGGCGCACAGTGATATTCTCAGTGCTGAAGGATAAGCTAAACATACCTGCGAACCAGCTACCTTTGAGCTCACACAAGGCTGAGCCACAAGACAGGCAGAATCAGTGTGCTGGTCCCTTAGCAAGGCTGAAACAACAGGCTTTGAAGGGCACGCAAAAAAGAGCGTGTATTTGCTGAACAACACCTGTACAACAACACTGCTCGGCCCCTCCCACTGCTTTACCAGTGTGAGCTTCAAGCTGCTTTAACCTATGGCAGATGTCTGAGAAATCCAAGGCTTCTGCCTCCATCACACATGACAAATCAGATAGGCGGTCTTCGTGTCAGCAAAAACAAATGGAGTACAACAAGGACAGTATTTTGCTGTATCAAAATAATTATAAAGGAAAGAATCACTTCTTAACTGCCTGGTTAAGACACAATTCTAATTCCAGCCAACTCCCTCCCCTAAAGTTTCCTTACAGTTTCCTAAACAACCCGCTACTTGTGAAGCCACTGGACTTCACAACAGGGCCTAAACATAGGTGAGAGATGCTTTCTGAAATCCTCAGAAAAGCCTTCCCAACCACTCTGACCCTTCCTTTTTCTCTCACGTGAAAGCTAGAACAGACTAATCTAACCCAGTTCAGCCATGCCAGTCTCTACCACACACCGCGTATGATCTCTAACTGACTCAAGATGCAGGGAGTACTATACAAAAAACATCCGTATTTTCAGAAGTTTTCTTCCCTCTGGCAAGAGGGCCACTCAAGTAGTACAAGAGCAATAGCATTATGTTCTGAAATGCATCTGCTAATCTCCAATACCCTGCACTCAACCTTGCTGCAGCCAATTGACATGTCGCAACCTGGAAAAGAGCAATCCCCAAAAATGGCAAAAGTAGCAGAATTGAAAGACAAAAGAGCACCTGAAGACAGAAATCTAACTGCAGATTGAAACTGCAGATTCTGACCAAAGACTGAAACTGAATCCCCAAAACATTATTCCTTTTTAAATGGGGGAGCAAATGAAGAAGCTAGTGTTTTACTCTCAAGAAAATAACACATAATAGGAAGAAGCTGTTCTCAGATGAGCAGAAATAACCAAAGGTTTACGTGCAACACGTTTTGGTCTTCAGCCCAGCCGCCACCTCTTCACTGCAACAACTGCAGCTTCCCTTCCCATGTCTTTCGCAACATCCCTCTCGGTCCTTGGCAGGGAAAGGACAAGCGTAGTGACTGGAATGAAGCAAAAGCTTCAAAGCAGCTCAAGCTTGCTGCCCAGGCTGCCGTCTGCTAAGAACAAACACTTAGCAGAGTTCTGCTCATTTTGCTCATAACTGGGACAAGAAAGAGGGTATCTTCTTTGCTCGAAGGCAGAATTTTACAGAACTTTTAGGATCTTGCTTCTCATTGGGGATTCCATCTCTGCACTAAATTTACTTAAACCTTCACAAAGTGCTCAAAAGGCATTTAATGAAGTGGGAGACAGAATGATGTAGTGCTTCATGAGAAAGCTACGCTGTATCAAACTCGCAGAAATCTACAAGATGTTTTTTGTTCACAGTAATACTTTCCTGAGGGTCTACAGTGAGATCTTACAAACTCATTTAGAACATCTGTGGTGTTTGCAGTCACTTACCACAAAGCCCTAAAACCTTTAACCTACCAGATGACCACAAAACTCACTGCACAGTCAGCTGTCCCAATATTCAGTGACGATTTAGAGCCTCTACCCACCAGCACTCAGACTGAGTACTGACACCCTGCATGTACTAACTGCAGATGCATCACCACTTGACCTTCTCAGCATATCACGTCTCCTTTCTCCTTTCCAACAATCTTCACAGCAACAGAAGCAGTCTCTCTAACCATAAAACCTGCTGCAGCCTTACTGAGAAAACCACAGAATCACGGCAAGCATTGCATTTTCACTATTCAAATGGATACCTCACCCAGGTCAGCAAAAGCCAACCTCAAAATGCACCTTCTAAACACGGTAATGCATGCACACGCGTAATTGCTTCTGGCAGCCTCTGCCCTTCGATGAGCTGTTCTCCCACAGCTGAACTTATGCTGCTGGCAACAGAGCCCCCCCAACAATTGCACTCACCTCTATGGGCTCAGATGGGATTTCCAATTTGGATAGTTTGGCTTTGGTGTTCGCTTTCAAATCTGAGATTTTTTCATAGGGTTCTCCGTGGTATTCCTCCAGAGGCTTGAGCTCTGGTGATTCAACTGGTGCCTGATCTTGGCCATCCATTGGTCTGACATAGGCAGTTGGTTTCTGCTGCATTGCACTGGTCTTTGATGGCAAAGGTGGGGGAAAAGTCTGAGAGGGAGGCTGAGTGGTGCTGGTCAGGTTAACAGCTGAGTTGTCCCGACTTTCCTTCTCCTGTGATCCTGTCACTAGGTCCTGAGATGATTTTGTTTGACTGTAGGTCGGCCCATGACTTTTGCTGCTGTTCTGTGACCTGGAATTGATATGCTGGCTGGAATGTAGAGGTGACAGGGGTGCCACTGGAGAAGACAAAGATGACAGCAATGGAGAAAGCGCCAAAAGGGAGGCCTGCAGTTCATTAGGACGACCTTCACCAACTGCACACCTGTCATTTCTCCTCTGGTGAAAACCTGTGTGACTTTCCTGGCCACCACGATTGTGTTCTTGACCTTGGCTCCGACCACTGGATAAGCTGTGACTCTTGGCGTGCAAACTTGAAGCTGGTTCTGTTCTTGATTGGGCCTTTTGGTAGTGAATGGAGTGGTTTGGAGGAGGAGGAGCTACAACCATAGGTCCCAAGGGTGGATGGTGGTTTGTGCGGTGGAATGAAGATGGTAATGTATGGCTGGTCTTTTCAGGGAAGTATGGGCGATTAGGCTTTCCTTGTGGGATCAGAGGAGCAACACTTTTTGGAATTCCTATGAGATTCTGATGTGATTTGTTGCTGATGAGCTCCTTGACCTCCTCATAATTGCCCAGCATGTTCTGAATGCGGCTTGACAACTCATCTTCTTTATTAGTCTGCAACAGAAGAACAGAGAAGGGGGAAATATAAAAAGCCCACTCCAAGGGATCCAGCTCAGGAAGAGACATTCTTCAGGATTTTATTTTAATCACCATGCATCACAAGTCAAGCTATGCAAGCTCATCTTGTTCCTGTATGCAGTCTTGCCAAAGCAAGTGGGACTGCTCTAGTCAGTGTCAGTTCTTCTGAGCCAAGATTGCAGGTGTGCCTGCAGTCATCAGGAATACTAACATCAGACCAGTTTGTTTCAACCACAGCTACAGACAGACAGGTAGCCAAGCTGGTTTTGAGCACTCTCCCTCAAGCTCCCAGAATACAGGAGGACCCCAAATGAATCTGCCCAACCCTAAGTCCATACTGCGCTCGCACCATCTACAGAGCTTTAAGTCCATACTCTGATGAAAATAAGTCAAACAAATAGGAAGATACTGCGTTTGCATGTATCACGCTCAAGTCTACTACACTGTATGCAGAGGCCACAGAAGAAGAGATCTTCTTCCATCCCAATTCTTTTTACTACTCTCCCTCCACCACGTGCCCGCCTGCCATTACCTTGTAGGGTTCTGCAAAGAGGGGAGTCTTCTCAGGGAACTTGTCTTTCTCCTGAAGAGCCTCCTGATTCCGCCTCTCTCTCTCTCGAATACGGAGTAAGTTTCTGTCCTCGTTGTACAAGCTTTAGGAAAGAGAGGAAGAAAGCATGGTTAACGCTTTACACCACTGTTATCAACAAGCATCTACTTGGTGCAGAAATCACACAGTGGTATACATCCAGTATGAAAGTAATTTCGAAATCCACAGGGTGTTTATAGCTGACAAATCATTTACGTCAAGGATCTGCCATATCGCATAGTAATGTAACATACAAGGTACAGCATGCCTCCTTCTCAGTTATTTCTACTCCTGATACCATACATCAAGAAGGGTTGGAAGGGAAAAACTATCTATCTGTTTAATTGTGAAACAAGTTGAGAAGAAGTCAACATGGGCAACAAGCACATGAGCTGGCAAATCCAGTTGCAATGACCAACGTGAAAACTACCATTCTTGTTCTCCTCCAGACTTCTGCCCCAATTCTTCACCTGAGAGTAAAAAAGAATCCACTATTCTGAAAGCATTGCCACTTTCAGAGATTTAACTTTGTCTACTTCATAAACAGGCTTGAAAACTTACTCTCTACTTTAAATGGACATTTGGAAAGCTGCTTACCTGGCAAACCATGTAGTTACATTTAAAGCAATCACATAAATGTATCTAAAGAGAAGGTCGCAGCAATCTGGAAAACACCAGGTCAAACCCCTCTGCACTCAATTCCACCAGTCCCACGTCAAAACAGCAATAAAGCTGTGTCACATGCACAGCAGGATGACTTAATGGAAAACCAGACCCTTTAAACTACATCTCCTCTATAAAATACTACTGCAAAATAAAGCAATCTATTGCTCTTATATTTATGGACATTTGTGAAGAAAAAGCATGTAGGCGTAGTATGTGGATGCAAGTATTTACCTCCTCTCCTATTCCTACTCTACTGCACAGGCATAGCATGTAGATGTAGGTATCTCTCTCCTCTCATATTTCTACTGTATCGCAGAGTCTACTACATACATACAATTCCTATATTCTTCTTAGTACAGTCAACTTCACAAGTGTCCCAGTTTGGAAAGGAAAACCCTCATCTCCCCCACCAGTGATATTTTCTCAAATACCACATCAATAATCATCTACTGAAAGTTTAATCATCCCTAAAGGAGAGGTACAGGAGTTGCTCTGCTGTAACAGTTAATCAAGAGGTCTGACTACTGCAGAGGCAGTTTCCTCACTCAATGGGAGCTCTGGAAAACGCTGTCTGATGGCAAATTTCCCTATATGGAACTGCAGCAAGGATGTACTTGTGCCAGTAAGACAGAAAAACATATTCAGGGGTTAGACTGTGCACATTTAAAATAGTTTCCAACTTTGTTAGTGCTGAACTGTTTCCAAACATAGCAAAAGAGAAGTTCCCAGTAAGCTCTGTGCACCCCACTTCTGCAAATGATGCAAAGAATTTTACAAGTTAAAAAAAAAAAGGAATCACAGATGACTGATTCATTAAATACACACAATCCTTCTGCTACAAACAGTATATAGTAGAAGCATTTCCTCTGTCCATCTGATGTCATTTTGCACATGAGCAACTTCATACCTATAATGAGTTAGTTTGGTCAGTTGCCCTGTGTGCCAGGAAAGATTTATGCAGCCAGATATCGGAGATACCAGCTGCAGAAGACAAAATATTAAGAGGAATTATAAAGTAAACTAGAAGCAATCTTGGTTAAATCTACTACTTGAAATTGTATTCATGCAAATGATTTTTTTAGGTGAATGCATTTCAAGTTGACAGCATTTTTTAAACATATCCATTTAAATTATCTGGAAAATTTTTACTGAATGAAACACCATTTTCCAAACATTCCAGGAAGTAAAAAACAATTCCATAAATATCCTTTATATAAACTTCAGAAAAATTCCATTAAACAATAAGCATGAAAAAAAACCACAAAAGATGGTTTTAACAGCTAAAACACTGTCTTTTAGCATGAAGGAGACCTCTGAAACCTCCTCTTCACCAATCTGGAACACCAATGCCACATTTTCTTTTTTCTTTTTTGATGGTCATCATTTAACCTGAATCAACCAGCTCCTCTTCCCCCACTGGTCCCCAGTCCATTTGCCCCCATGGCTGCACAAGCACTCAAGACAACACAGTGGGCAGGGAAAACGAAGAAAACCACTGCCCTTGGTGGCAGTCCTCACTTCTTGCCATTTCCCAGCCTCCTTGCCATGCAGTCAATGTCATCCCTTAGCAAATTATACATCTCTTGCAAGGAGAGAGTTGCTCTTGCAACTTGCTTTCCTGCTTTTCTGATGTGTTCAGACTAACCAAGACTCTTACTGCAACCAGGTGTTCAGCTCCAGCTCTTTCCCCCCCCCCCGCCTTGACTTCTTCCTTTGGAAGCTATCACCAAGTATGTTTTTGAGCATAACAATAGTATTCAGCGCAATGCAGAAGGTAAAAAGGACAATTCCAAGTTAGTTTTAACTCCTCCTCCTTGAGCATCAGCTGTTTTCCCTGTCAGTTCTTCAGCCATAATTTTCATCACTTGATAGACAGAGGGACATACAGGAAATTAAAAGGTGCACAGGGGATCTACTTTTTACAAGTGTGACAACTGTGCTAGAGACCAAAGCTTCTCCTCCTCATGTCTCTTGATAAACATTTTGGTCTGCACAACACTGCAGACATCTCAGCCTGCCCTGTTGCTATTCCTGTCTTGATCCATACCATGAATGCCCAGTTAGACCTAGAAAGTACTTACTTCATACAACTGCAATGTTAAATATACATACTTGTTTTTGTTTGTTTTCTCCATAGTACTTTACTTATGGTGTTGGCTAGAGTACACATCACACTCATATACTGTGCTAGCTTTCCCCAAAACAGATTTTACTACTGCAATTCAGAGATTGTTGTGGCACACTTCAGATCTAGGCTTCCTGGAGACAAGCTGTTGAGCTGGCATAGCTCTCTGCTGAAGCCCACAATGATAACAAACGAAAGCAGTTTAAAATGTTCATCTAAACAATACGTAAGGACAAAAGCCATAGCCAATCCATCTCTTTTTGAAACAGATTGTTTTAAAATAAGCCAATCTCATTTTATCTTCCCAGGTAAGAGATTGTTTGCCTCTTTCAGAGGGACAGAGAAAGACATAAAAGCCACGAGGTTGAACACACTTCTCTTGGGGAACGCTGTCAAGACTAAGACAGTAATTTCTAACAGACCCATTCCCAACCTCTTTAAAAACCCCAGTTACCTTTCAAAAAACTCTGACGTCACTACTAGAACATACCACACCACTTTATGATCTGCATTATCATTTAGTAAGACACATGCAATAGTGTTTGAAAACTGCAGATCTTTCAAGGTGCACTACTGCAGCAGTGCCCACTCCTATAAAGCACTGAGGACTTTGAGTAACAGCCTCTGCAAGCTACTAGAGTCAAGCATCCTAACTTGTAATGACTTCACTACTCCCTGCTTGTCTAGCTTTCAACAGTGTTCAAAAATTTGCCCCCCTGATCTGCTTCCTCACAAAGGATTTATTAGCAAGGAGCTAATGTAGATCTATTTTCTTAAACAAGCAAAAAATACACACAATACTATGACAGATCCAGTTAACAAGCTGGGTGTCATTTCCCTTTCTATAATAAACCTATACAGAACATGACTTGGTATTAACAGGTTTTTTCTATGGTTGCTGGGGAAAAAGGGCAGGAGTCTTAAAGTATTCCCATTACTACTCTTGCAGGAAAATACAAAACAGCATGCCACTATCAGCAGTAAACCAAGACTGAAAAGCATTAGTGATGATCCACAAATATCAGCATAACCACGTGTGTATCTCCCTGGCTGGAAGAGCACTGAGAGGTTGAGTCACTCCATGGTGAGACTCTGGTGCGAAACAAACAAGTGGAAACTCTGACCAAGAAGTTTTGTGTTTTGCTCGGTTGTTTCAACTTGCAGAGCAGGAGGATGAGCCAAAGCCCACGGAAATAGGCAAAAAAATGCCTATCAATTTCAATGGACTTTGTGTTGGGTAATGAGCACGCATTCTTCAGTCATGCGAAACAGGCTTGACCTCGGGCACACATGAGCAAACCTCCAGCAAAATGAAGAAAAGTCATCACTTGGACACTATACATCAGCTCACAATGCTCAGCTTCTCCACCTCTCAAAAAAAAAAAAAAAAAAAAAAACCACCAAAAAAAGCTCTAGCGCCCTCCCCCCAAAAAAACCCACACACCAACCCAATCCCCCCCAAAAGAAAAAAACTCTCAAATATTAAAAGTTTGAGTTCATAAATGTTAATCATAAACAAAAGCATTAGCACAATTTTACTACTCATACATTTCATCCTCTTTACCACAAACTCTCTTAATAACATCGCCTTATTTAGTAATGCAAAACAAAACACATATGTGCACATACTTGCACGAGCAAAAATTCACTGAAAGGAGACACTGCTCATCGGTCTGACATGTTGAAAGAACTGAGGAAAACCTCATGGGCTATTTTTATTTGCTCTCCCAGGATAAAATCTGCTGTCAGCACTGGCCAGTCAGGGTTCTTGTTTTACATTATGCCTTGCTGTAAACGTCTCACTAGATCTCAACCTACAGCAAGAGAAGCCCATAGTTTGCAAACAGTTTAAAAACTAACAGCAGCAATTAAAAAAAACCAGAAGACAACCTCCCCCCCAAAATCCTGAGCCACATACTATGACCTTGCAAATTGTCTTCTACTAAAACACTGCTACGTCCATGTGGATTACGGATATCCTTCTATTTCTAGGCTGGCGAGCATCCAAAATCAGAGCAATCAGGCTCTTTCTCAGAGGTTCTGATTACGATCAAGCAAAAGGAAAACCCTAAACAACTGTAACTTCTGTCTCTTGCAACAATAATATTTACAATGAGAAGTAGCTATCTTTTCTACATGTATCCCAGCACTGAATGTGAAACATCTTACATGCTGCTTGCTGCAAAACCAGCAGCTGTAATACCTCTAAAGGCCTTTTCTTTCCCTGAACCTTCCTTGACCCCAAGCTCTCTTCCCAGCAATAAATTCTTTTT